ATTGTGTGTGTGTGTGTGTGTGTGTGTGTGTGTGTGTGTGTGTGTTTTATTTTCAGTCCATTTTAACCCAGCAATATAACAGTTTTTAAACAATAGATGACTTAAATAAAACAAACCAGCATGTTTGGTTAAAAAATTTAACCCAACCAGCTGGGTCATAATAACCCAGCATGTGTTCTGTCCAATATTTACCCAGCACTGTGTTGCCAAATAACCCAAGTTGGGTTGTTTTTAAGCCATAATTTTTTAGAGTGTACCTACCTACATACATACATACATATCAAATTCAAATATTCAAGCACTGTATGCTCTCGCCATATTTACACACAAACACTATAGTGTGTATTTTACTCAACCAAAATTGAAGAGGAGTACTTAATAGTTTTACTGGAGTAATAATGTTTAGGGTATATGTAATTATATTTAAGTACTCGATTTGTGTACTTCATCCACCACTGGGGTTCTGTAATCACCTGTATAACCAAAATTGTTTATGGGCCATGACACAAAAACCAGCTGTGGTAAAACCAAGTGAGATTTAAAAAATGGTGGTTTAGCATTACCAGTACATAAAGCTAATCACTCAAAACAAATTAGGAACAATACAAATGGTGAAGCAACTTCTTAGGATGCAAGAGTTAAATAAACCGAGAAACATTTAAATAAGAGCAACATATCGTAACAAAAAAAAAAAAACTTACAGTCATCATTTTGACCTGTGTTGAGAGGCTCTGGGCTTTTTCATTCTGCAGATAAATTAAGTGTTAAATGATGACATACAACTGTCTGACACTCATGACTTGTATAAGAAGATAAATCATGCTGGATTCATACCACTTCTATGATGGATGTCACATACAGGTCCACATAAACTTCAGTAGGAGGGTCCATGAAGTAGGGCAGTTGGTGGGTTTTTGGAACGTCAGTCTTGTTCAAGCCGAGATGTTCAAAAAGTGCCTTATAAGCAGTACCATAAACTGTGCTTTCTTCGCAGTTTGTAAAAGCAGACACCCATCCTGTGAAGATAAGACTTTATTACATACTGGGGCATATTCCAGAAAGCAAGGTTCATTTACCGTTGCATATACCCTGTTATCTCAGTTGTCAATTAAACCTTGTTTACTTGAGGTGGTTTCAAAATCACGTCCAGGAGTATGTTCAGTCAACTCAGAGGTTCACAGTGAACACACAATCAATTATTGTGATTAATCCAGAACAGAGTGACAAATTGAAGAGTCACCATGGAAATAGATGCTAAGAAATTCTCTGGGTGCTGCAGTAAAAATGGCTGCCCACTGCTCTGGGTGTGTGTGTGTGTTTGGATGGGATAAATGCAGAGCATGGGTTACCACTTGGCTACAAGTCACATCACTTTCATATTGACACTTGTAACAATAGGTCCACTGAAGGCTAGTTTAAGAACCCAAGTGCAGCTTTATTCCAAAAGTACAAATACAAAATAGACACATAATCCAAACAGAGACTTGACTTGGCATGAACAGACTTGACTCATCAACAGCAGGTTACAACATCAATACACGACAAGAGACAAAGGCTACATGAGGGCTATAGCTGCATCCCAATTCAAAGATTGCATCCTTCGGAGGACGGGTCCTTCAAAGGATGGGGCCAACACAGTCTTCAAAGGATGCTCCGAGTCTAGCCTTCGCAGGATTTCCTGATTGCGCCAGCAGGTGTTCCCGATTGCCGCTCCTGTCGCGTAGCAACGGTGCGAGAAGAGAGCTGCCATAGATGTTATTAGTTAATGAAAATGAAAATAACTGGAGCCTGAATTGTTAGTTTTTGACTTTAAATTACCGAAATACACTTTAAATGTAAGTATTGGGTTTCGACTTACTTGAATACTGTAATGACATGAAAAAATACAAAATATAAAGCGATTAAATGTCTACTTATATCTTACCAAAATGTGATTTTATGTTGTTTATTCTATTATTGATTATTATGTACATAAATGGACCATGGTGAACATATTTAAACAGGTTTTCAACCTTGTTTAGTTTTATGCAGCTGAATATAAAAAGTTCACTTACAAACGTTACTGCCGCTCGTCAAAGGCAGCTGACAAAGTTGCTAGGCAACAAGAAGAGTCCTCCGTAGGCTAGACCGGTCCGAGTGCTTCGGAACTTCGCAGGATTTCCTGATTGCGCCAGCAGGTGTTCCCGATTGCCGCTCCTGTCGCGTAGCAATGGTGCGAGAAGAGAGCTACCATAGATGTTATTAGTTAATGAAAATTAAAACAACTGGAGCCTGAAATGTTAGTTTTTGACTTTTAATTACCGAATTACACTTTAAATGTAAGTATTGGGTTTCGACTTACTTGAATACTGTAAATACAAAA